TGCTTCTCTTTTTAAAGTTCTACTGAGTAAAATGTTAGTTAAATTGAAAAGAGCATTTCTATACCACTTTTCATCTACTCTATGTCATACCTTCTTAGGTTTAGAGGACACTCCTCAATAATGAGTTGGTTTGGCGCTTCTGTGATGACTCCTGTGCGTATCGATCGATTGTTGCTTGGGTGGGCGAAGCGGCGGCCAGCGTCCTCCCACTCCGACCAACCACTGCGATGTGTCATCATCTCGCACATTATCTCTACTCCTCAACCTTAAGCATCCATCATAGCTCAATATTTGGAATTATGTCTCTGGAGTCCATCAAATGACAGGAAGAAGTGCAAAAATTGCAGTTTCCTTATTTATGGTTTTTGATGTCATTTTTCTCATATCATTGCGATTGAGTTAAATGGCGTTCCCCAGTGTTTTCTTTTTTCTTTACAACTTGTATTCTCAGTTCTTAATTTCATCATCATTCTGAAAAATATCTTTTTTCATTTTCATAATCCAGTCTCATAGTTCTCAACGATTAAGTCTAAGTATCTGGCATCTCACGCTTACGGTTTAATGAAAGTTTGAAACGTTTTGTGCGTCAAGAAGCAAAAATTTTTGTTACCTCAACTTTAGTGTAAGAATCTCGCTTATCTTTTGCAATGGCACATTCGTTTCACGATGTCATAGCTCGCTCGCGTAAATTCAATTTGACTGAGGAGGTATTTTATTTCGCGGGTGTTAGCCCTCAGAGAATCCCAATTTGGTTTTCTTCATCTCCCATCAAAATCCTTCATTTGACCTCTGCGCTTACTGTCGCTTGCTTATATCCATCAGGTTGATGCAGTTTTAATCTGATTACGTGTCGTGCATGGTGGATTGCGAATTGGTTTTTAGGGAAACCTCGTAGTGTGCATATACGATTGACTTGCTCGCTTTAAAATTTTCAGATAAAAATTTGTTTTTTCCTTTCAGGGATTCTGCACGGGTTGTCCCTCATTAGATAGTAATTATGGCTGCAATCAGAAAAAAGGTTTGCTATTTGGTATCTTATAAATTTGAGCTCATTTCACCACTTTAGCTGGTAATCGTGGGTGACGGAGCTTGCGGAAAGACTTGCCTGTTGATTGTCTTCAGCAAGGATCAATTCCCAGATGTGTATGTGCCAACAGTCTTCGAGAATTACGTAGCTGACATAGAAGTCGACGGAAAACAGGTGTGTGCATATCGCAAGTAGATATGTGTGGTAGTTGGATCAACGCAAAGATTTTTTCTATGAGGTTCTCGTTAAGCCTTAATTGTGAGTAGCAACAAATGCATGTTTTTCCATGGTTTACTTTCATCTGTATCTTCATTTTTATTACACAGAAATTTCTGTCAGATATCATCTATTAACAGATCAGTGAACTGGAAAAGATCTCGTCAAAGTATTTCTCTAGTATTGTCATCGTTTACGCTTTAGGTAGAATTGGCGTTATGGGATACTGCCGGTCAAGAAGATTACGATCGTCTCCGTCCACTTTCTTATCCCGACACTGACGTCATATTGATGTGCTTCAGCATTGATTCACCTGATTCATTGGAGAATATACCTGAAAAGTGGACGCCAGAAGTGAGTCCATGATTTTTGATGAATCTCTTGCATTTTCCTCATTTAAGTTCAACAAGAAGAGAGAGAAGTATGTCAGCAATCTTTCACTGCATACTTTTGTTTGCATTATTGATCATCAAGTGTTAATGAGGGATAGATAGCGTAAGATTAAAAAATATTGAGAAATCCTCAGTGGTCTCGCACATCATCGTGATCTAAGTGAACACTGCTCGACGCCTAGTTTTACCTGACTAATATCATGAAGTAGAGGCATTTCTTTCTACATTGGTAACCATCCTATTTGCGTTGCCTTTCTCTATCATTCTTTTGCGCGCAATTTTAGATCTAACATATACCATTCAGAGACTAAATTTATGTCAATTGATTTTCGTTGACAGCCCACTTATTTCTTTTCAGATTAATGCATGTCCATTATTTATTATTCGATAATCTGTCAAGCTAAACATTATTTTTGACAACCAGAAAAGAAGCGATTCTACTCATTAATAATAGTTCTCCTGCGATCCATGGTTGATGATATAAATTGCCGTCTCTATTGAAGATTAAGCCTACCCTCCAATTGCATTAGGAGAACTCGGCTGCTTTGGAGAGTACT